CTCCACCTGAAGTTTAAAAGGACCCAAGAACTAAAGAAGAAGAATGGAAACTATATCAGAGGCTCTGCTCCAAAATATGGAATGAATGAAAGAACTGATCCAGACCACCTTGCTAGAAGAGTTTACCTAAACTCTGTTTTGGGTTGGGTTGGGTTGGGTTGGGTTGGGCTTCAGCCAGCTTTTCCCCAATGACCCAAAGGTGAATTTAAAACTGTTTTGCTGAAATACACTACTATTTAAGAAAAAGCTAAGTGAAACCATGCTTTGTTGAATACTGCTAAGATAGTTTTAGTTATGTGCTCTCAAGATAAAACACTTCTTGTAATTTGTTAATGACTGTTTCCTTTGTGTTTGCAGGTTTGGGTGGTGTCCTCAAACTCAGTTATCAGTTTATTATTATCATCATTGTTAATTAGTTCATAGTGAAGCTAAATCTACTTCATGACTTACAACTGTGAGACATGAAAATCATCTGCAGCAACTGTAGCAGATGTTAATTTATTTTATTTGAAAACAGCTAAAGCTAAAATGTGATGACTGTCATGTTACTAACTCTTCAGTTTTCAGGTTGGAGAAACCCACATCTTTTTAAAACCAGATCATTTGGAATAATCTTAAAGTACAGTATATTTTAGTAGGGAATTTGTGAGGAAAATTTTTCCTCTATATTTGACCCATTCATCATCAAAGTGCTGCTGGGGCAGCCTGTCAGGAGCAGTGAGCTGCTGCCATATATCTGTGCAGATTCTGTACACAAAGGAACCTTCTTGCTGTGAGTGAGTGCTCAATCACTCATCTTGACTTGAGTCTTGGTGCAAGGGTTGAGGCCCTTGCGTTCTGTCACATTTTTATGGTCTGAATGTAATAGTTCTGACCCTCTGACGTTGGATTTGTGACCGACATAATCTTACAGGGATCTTTCCCTGCTGCAGGTTTCACTGGATTCATTGGTCTGTTCATGCAGACTTTAACTCGGGTAGGTGACATTTCTGTGTGAATCATCATCTCAAAACAAGGCCTGAATATGCTGAGGATTTTATGTTACAGTCCAAGGCCTGTTCTGAAAGTGGACCATATTCTAAACGTTGGCTCACTTAGTTACATTTATTCTGTAGTTCCAATTACCATTTGAATGTGAGCTTTTGACTAGTATGAATGTTAAATGATTGCATAGTTTTGTAAATGTGACTTATTCTGAGCCTGACTTGGTTTTACATCATATCAGAGCGTTTGAGGTCTGCTAGTATTGCTAATGTTCGGTGAGGAGCCGCACCCAAGAGGAGGAACTTATCACTTTTATCAGACAGTCAGTATGAATAATTATCTCCTAATATTTCAACATTTTAAATTACGCAGAAATTAAGACTTCTGAATTCATAGGTTTTAGTTTATAGTATTGTATCTGACTCATTTATGACTGAGTTGTAGAATATTTTGCTTTAATTTACTTTACTTTATTGTATTATTTTACTTTATTTTACTTTTACTATAGCTACCTTATTACAATCTGCAATATACAGTATTTATTGTGAACAGTAGTCTGCCTCTGCTGTTTATAAATATCAGTTCGTACAGTGTTTATGTTAGTCTTATATTTTGTTATGAAAGTGCTGCATATTCATTCCCTAAAAATGACCATGTATTAATAAAATAAATAAATAACTCCTTTGCAATGGTAATATATTGTATTATCTTTGTATTTTTTTCAGTGTCAGAACAGCTCTTGATCCAAAATGGCTGCCTTCCTCCATCACTGCCCCTTCCTGAAGTGGGTCCCTCAGCCAGCTCGGAGAAGAACTGGAGCTGCCCTCATGTCCGTGACCGACCAGTGCCCCATCGTCACGCGCCAGATCAGTGTGAGCTCCTGGAATAGACACTGGTTACCAAGGCGACGATATGAGACTGTTGTTAATAAAAAATATAATTTTTTTTCTTTCTTGCTGTAATTTGATTTACATCATCCAACATGTTTTTCTGCCTTCTGGTGGCCATTTTCCATTCCTACAATCCCAAGTCAAATATTGATTGTTTTTGCTCAAATGAATGATCATAGTTATATAGACTTTTGGCCCCACTGTAATTCGGCTGCACCGTGGTCCAGTGCTTAACGCTGAGCTCATGGGGATGGACCGGACGCGGCCCCGCCTGTCATTAGGACAGGCCTGGGCTGCGATGAGTGAAACGGGGGGCCAACTTCGCCACGGAGCCTGGGTTCGAGTCCGAGTTGGGCCAGGTTTGCGTGTTGGAGTCCGTGTGATCTGATTGTGTTTCTTTGTCACTCTGAAAAATACGCACAAACACTGGAGGACTTTGGCTTAAAAGATTCAATACGTCACGGCCGTAGCGCCACCTGTGTAAACTGTCACTGCTTTCTTCAAATGTCCATATTCATGACGCAGCAGAAGGCGCCTGTTTTGCAGCTTATGACTGTCACCACAAGGGTGCGCTGCTCCACTGTCCAATTTATTTTCTCGCCTCGCAAGAATTTATTTGAAAATAAATTTGTGGGTCTGATTGACCTGCCCCAAGAGCGCGGGAAGGAAAAAAAATCTTTCTTCGGGTCAGTGTGACCCCGAGGAGAGGGTGAGGGTTGAATAGTCTTGCTGTATTTTTAATGGGACATTATGTACAGCTAATGCATAAAGATGGTGTGATACAGCCAATATCGATGTCACTAAGTTCAAGAGCAACAGTAAAATCCTGATCAGATTTTGCTGTTGCTCTTAAACTTTTTAACTGAGAGCAACAGGTTTTAGTAAATGAACAATTGTCTGAAAGTGTCTTCTCTAGCGCTGGGTCTCCACAAGGTTGTGCCCTGTCTCCGTTTCTTTACCTAATGTACACCGACACAGTAGGAGCAATCTGGAGGGCAGCTACCTCATCACATTTTCAGATGACATTACTGCTGTCTTTCCTGCAGAGCACAGAAACAGGCCATGGTAGTGCCCTCTCCAGTTTTGGCACATGATGTGGAGATAATCACTTGGACTTGAATGTTTCAAAAACCAAAGAAATGACAGTTGGTTTCATGAGAAAGCTGTGAACTCAGGCACAGTATTTTATTTAGGGGTGTCAAATTATCACGTTAAATGCGATTAATTAATTACAGTCATATTTAGCGCGTTATGTTTTTTAATCGCGTTAATCTCATTTTTAATCTCTAACTTTACAGTTTCTGTATGCGAGTTGCTTTATTATAAAATCTGTTTTTATGTGTTGTTGGGACAACACACACACACAAAAAACACATTAATTATTTTTTTATTTCGGTAATTCCACTCATTGCCGGAAACCCACACAAAACGCGCGCAGTAAGAGCGACGTAAACGTCATGTTAACGTTTGCGGCGTCAGTCACACAATGGACGAGGTCGAAGAGCCAGTAGAACAGAGGCAGCAGTGCACAGGTAAAAACACATTCGTGTCTTGGAAATTATTCTCCCGACGTGAAATATAAAAGAAAATAACAAATATAAAATCGCCTACAACTTAAATGTCACTGGTGAAAACAACCTGCATAGACTCATGATGTCTGCACTACTGTCCTATAGTGACCTGCCACATGAGGGGACACGCACACAAACAAACACAAACACACACAAACACACACACACACAAACACACACCTTCATCATCGTCATTAACCTGAGAACGCGCGGACCACGTTTCTTTCCGTAGTTACTGCGCGGACACCGACGTGCTCCCGTGCGCCGCGTACGTTTTCTCGCGTACGCTGCGTAAACCGCGCTTCCTCCTGTGCGCCTCTAAACCGGGACTAACCCAGTCCAGGACTAAAACCAGTGATCTCATATATAAAGAATTTCTCTATCAATAATATTTTTAATATGGTTAAGGAAAGACTGGACTTTTTATTGTCTTTAAGTAGACAAAAGTTATTATGTTCAGATTTCCTCATCTTTGCTACTTTACAGCAAACAGTTTCTTATTCATGGAGACTTGGGCTCAACAGCCAATTTGGAGAGATTTGTTAAACAATAAATGACTTTATAAAGTCACTTTTTTTTGTTCTATATCAGTCTTTTGATCTGCCACAATAATGTAATAATGAATTTAAATGAAAATACCTCAGCTTGAAGGCTTTTCTCAGCATTTTTTTGGTGAGATTAAAAAGAGATTAATTAGATTAATTAATTACAGATCATAATTAATTAATCTCTCAATTTCTTTAATTGCATGACAGCACTAATTTTATTCAGAGCTAAAGTTTGACAAAAACAGGGATTCTGTTGAAAAAGAGGGCAACAGAAAATCCATCTGCTGAGCAAACTCAACTCTTTTAATGTCTAAACCAATCCTGTGTGCTTCATCATTCTTTTATTGAAAGTCTTTTAATATTTTCTTTTATAATTTAGCTTTATGGTTTGACAGTGAAAGACAAAAACAGCCTGAACAACCCTGTAAAAATGTGCTCAAAGATAATGGGTGTCACATTTGAAAAAAGAGGTTCTCCCTGATGCCCTCTGGGAGGCGCTATCTTGCCCCCAGCAGGAAAACAAATAGTTTTGCTAATTCTTTTATGCCCTCTTCCACTTGGCTCCTAAACACAGAGGTCAAATAGGAATAGCCTTATTGTTTGTTTTTTTTTTGTTATTTTTTTATGTTGTTCTGTTTTGTTTCTGGCCTTTGCACTTTGTGCCACATTTGCATACATTTAAATTTATGTAATAAGACCATTTACATGTACTTGGCCCAAAAAGTCTCATAATGTTTGAACTTTTATTTACACTAAGCTGCTATGTAGTTCCTTGAGAGATAAATAACAGCTAAATATTGGTTCAGCTTTGTCTTATTTCATTTTTGTTTAAAGGTAATAAACGGTATTTTGATGGTATCAGTTGGTCTTGGTTATCGGCAGATACTTAAAGCCGTAGTATTGAAAACAGTATGGAACCGAAAAAGCTGAATCCCTAATTCTCAGTATGCATTCACTATTTCAAAGTATTACCAGTGTTTATAAATAAATGTAATGCCTGAGAAGAATTACAATGATAGTATATTTTATTAATATTATTGTCCACATTCACAACTCCCACATTCACACAAACATGAACAAAGTGCAGATCGTACAATGACGTCTCAGACCAACGCCATAATAGGCAACATGAAGAGCAAAGGTGCTTAATATTGCACTGAATGAAAATGAGTCATTATTTCTCCAACCACCAAGGTTTACAAAAGCAATGTCTAGGCTACATGTTATTGATGGTAGTCCCCTAACTGACGAGGTAACAGTAATGGTCAAGCCATTTTCACAGCTAAATTAAATATGTAAGTGCTTTAAATGGGCTTTCATAGCATTTACATTTTAAGTTGTTGTTTTTTTTTTTCCTTTAGCAAGGGATCAGCTATGCATGGGCAAGAAAAAAACATCTGGGGAATAATTAAACTGTATGAATAAATAAAAATCCATATTGCCTCAGCTGTAATAACTTAAAGGTGCATTGTGTAACTTTTCTGGTGGAGGGTCCGTCAAATGTTTTATCCATGTATGTTATTTCTTTGTCTGGAATGTTTCACAGTATGATATTAAACTTTTCTACCATCATGGAGACTAAACCAGACCAAGTTACAGGTCAGATCTGTGGAGAGGGAATCCTGCTCAATCAGAAAATGTAAGGTAGCAGTATTTAATGTCATACTGCGGAACATTACACACAGAACAGTGACACATCCATAGAAACAAGCAAGTGACAGGCCCCAAGTTATATAGTGCACCTTTAAGCATGGGCCTTTGCTGAGACAAATACAATGCCATCCAACTACATGCTATAAAATAAACATGAAAAGTTAAGCAAATGAGGTATGTTTTGAACTCAATGAATTATTGCTGTGTTTTATAATGTCCGACACGATATTGCTTTAGTTGAGCCTACTAAAACAAATTTTGTTCTTGAAGGCATTAACAAATTACAAACTACATTCAAAATATTTTCCTCTCAAATCTACCACATGATAAATTAGCACTCAAAATTTCCTAAGCGCGATTGACCCCTGCAGAACCCTGAGTGCCCTCCAGAGGACACTGTTGCTTGGGTTTCATAAACTCAGGAGCAATCAGTGAAGGTGGTCACCATGTTGCCCCTCCGCTGTGTTACTGTCCGGCAGTGCTGTTTGGCCGAGCCCTGGAAGCGACTCTCAGTTCTAGTGGTGTGTGAATTAAAAGAGAACATCTTCTCCAAGTCCTCGAACACATCGTCAAACAGTCCTCCTCCAAATGACCTCCTTTGCCTCTTCATAGCCTCCTGGTGCGCCTGGAAGTGGCTGTTAAAGTGCCTCCTTTGGTGAGCTTGAGAGTTGGAGTGCAAGTTGTGGTGAAAATGTTGGTGACCAAATGGGTCTGAGTCTTTGAACAGATCGTCAAAGTTAAAGTTAAATGACTGGAAGTGCTGTTTAAAGTTATAGTCACTATGGCCTCCACCAGCTCCTCCTCTGAACTCCTGCCCTGATGGGCCAAACTGGTCATACTCTCGCCTTCTCTTGTCATCTGACAGCGTTTCATAAGCTAAAACAAAAAAAACAAACAATCAAATGATGAGTGTGCTGTTGGTTACAGTAACCTATAGTAACAATCACTGCTTATTACTACTACATTATTATTTACCATGTAAATCTTTAGTATATTTTTAGTAGAAAAAAATAAACATATATATTAATATAATAATAAAGGTATTATAATTCAGTCTTATATCAATTTGTATAAGATACAGATTCAATATTTCTTTGCATATCACTGGTATACAGCTGCTGTGAGTGATAAAATGTTTTAGTAACAAACCTGTCAGTCACCCCTCATTTGCATGTTACAACAGGTGCGGGGGTAAAACATGTAAACCGCAGGCAGCTGCTAAAACACGCGCTGACGTCTCTGAAAACTCACCTTCTGCTATTTCTCTGAACTTTGCTTCTGCGTCTGGGCCCTTGTTCCTGTCCGGATGGTATTTCAGCGCCAGCTTATGAAAAGCTTTCTTGATCTGGCGCTCAGTGGCATCTTTGGGCACCCCCAGAATGTCGTAGTAGTCCTTTTTGGCCCAAATGAATTCTGAAACCAGCAGAATATGCACTGCCAGGAGTAACATGGACTGCGCTGTGGCCATACTGACGGTTTGACACTTTTGCAACTGTGAAGACAGAAAGCGATTGACAGCTACTAACTACACATCACTTACTACACAGAAACAAGTTATTCAAATAGAATAAAAAATCTAACATTGAAGATTTCAAGAATTAGCTTACTGATATTATAAAAGATAACCCGTTTTATCTAAAACGAAAGAGAGACTGACCCATAGTGCCAACTCACTCTTTGGAGAGGCGGAGACTTTGAGTGCCCTATTCACTTTAGTTTAAATCGCCCACATTTGTCCAAATAAAGCTTCTAAATCAGATAAAAAATATCAGAAAAGCTTAAATTGTTGTTACCTGGAGCCGAAGTGACAGATAGCCAGGGGACACAACGCTGCCAGCCGCCAAGTGCACCAGCTGATCGCTGTCGAAAGCTTATAGTTGTTGACGCCTCGCATTCCTGAGCCGTAGCACCACGACTCGTAACGCCATTGGAGGGTTTCTTTACGCAGTGACTCGGAGCGCTCTGATTGGTGGAAACAATGTGCACATGGAGCGTGGTGCTTTCGCTGTCTCCTCGGATTATCTAACGTCAAATAAGGCTCCTACGGCCCTATAGTAAGTGGTTGAAACGTCGTAGATTGGCACGAAATGAGTGCTTAATTTAAAAATTATATGTATATATTTCGGGTTATCAGAGTTGTAGTGTTGTTTTAGAAAATGGTACTATCAACTAATAATATGCCTATTTTTGTACAAACCAAACATTTCAGCTATGCTTTTAGCCTGGTTTTACATTATTTCCAAATTTACAGTACCCCATGAACAAGGCATAAATGTAGGTGAATTAGGCTACATCTAGAATTATCTGGAAATGCTTTAGATCAGGAGTCTCCAACCTGTAGTTCGGGAGCAACCAGCAGCTCTCCATCCCCTTCCAAGTAGCTCGCCAAAGGATTTCTGAATTATAGATATCATGCTTAATCGCTCAAATCTGATGAACTACCATTGTGAATATATAATTTTGATGCCTAACTTTGTGCACTAATAAATGGATAAAGGTCTGTGTTTTATAGGTATTAATCTGTTCCATCTAAGGCTTTCTTATATGCTCAATTTCTTGTAACCACAAAAAAAGTAGCTCTTTGGCATTTTCTTTTTGTAAAAGTAGCTCACCAGAAGAAAAAGGTTGGAGACCTCTGCTTTAGATATTGAAATATTTGCTAAATGTGCAAGACGTCCTTATAAAGGCTAAAGCATGTAGTGTTGGTTCTGCTCTGTCTGAAACACAGACTGAAGCCTCATATCTGACAGAATTGCACAGGAGTAGGGTCAGCATCATGGACTACTAGACGCTAAATGAATTAAACATGTTAAACATATATTTTTAATAATAAATTATATTATTGAGCTGACTTTGTAGAACTCCAGAGTGCACTGGAATGCCACAAATTGCATTGAGTTTATTCAAAACTTTCCTGCGAGGACAGGACCCAGACCCCCTTATACACTAAAACCACACCAACAAACCAGGTGTGTTCCTCAATATGGAACCTCGCCACGTTGTTGGTTACCATCATCTTAAACCCCAGCAAGCTTTGGGATAGTTGCCATGGCAATTCCCGCTGCGCGTGGACATGGGTCACGTAAGCATTGGACTTGTATGTGGGGTATCTTTAAATATGGCGCGCGTACCAGACCAGTGCTCAGGTAAAAAGAAGGATCTGGCACTGGGTAAATGACGGCTACTTGTAGGCCAACTTCGGATGGGTGAATACATTACATGCACGATTACGTTGTATCGAATAGATGTGCAACTGCGAAAGCCGCTCTTGATATACTTAGACCTAGACAAACTTTATTGATCCACAATGAACATTACTGGACACAACAGCTCACACATCACAATATAATTAAATAAATAAATATCACCTAAAACGCTGCATTACAAGTTAAGCAGCGCATCGTAAGGTACAGAACTCGTTATTCTCTATTCAGCTTCTTAGGGTCACAGCATGGATCTATTAGGGTCACAGTCGATACTTTTAGCAAAGAAAGAAAGGGATTTGTTTGAAAGTTATTCACGAAGCACAGGCTCAGATCACACCACATCAGCATGTCAAATGACTTGGGAGGAGTCCAGGTGAGCTTTACCTGTCTCTGTTTGTCGATACGGAATCATTATTGCATTAATATTTAGCTTGATAACTCTTGGGTGAAATAAATGCTGGCTGGATCTCTGTGCGTAAAGTTGCTCCACACGCTCTCTGACTGACGTGTGTAATGTGAATTGAACAATGCGATGATGTCATGGAGTTTAACATGACAATGCACCAGTGCTTTTGCTGAAAGGGAATGCTGGCTTTATTTCAAACTGGATGTGTCTTAAATGCAATTGCTCAATGACAAAGGAAAACAAAAGGATAAACAAGTCAAAGAAAAAGTGTGTCCCTCTATCCTGAAATTGTCTGGTGAAAGGGAGTGCCAACCAGTATGCTGCAAATTTACGTCAAGGCCTTTTTGAATTTTAAAGTTGAAAACAAATGCAAAGGTTTTGTCAATAAAATGAATGGTGCCAGAAATGAAAGGGCTCATGAAACAAAAGCAGCAAAATGTGAAAAAGAATCTCTTGGTACTTTGAATGAAATGTGTGAAAATTCAACCATGGCTTCCAATGAGTCACTGCCACTTATTACAAACAATCAAACAATGAAATACTAAAATACAGTGAATTATTAAAGGTGTATAACTTTTTGGTTGGGGCTCTACTTCTGCATGTTTAAATGCTGGAAACAGAAATTGCAAAACATTTCTTACTTTAAACATTTTAACCCAACAAGTACAACAAATGGGAAGGCACCATCAAAGAATTCATATGTAATCAATTTCTACTTTGAAAAAAAAAAAAAAAAAGGTTAATGTTGAGTTTGATAGATTATTCTGTCTCAAATAAAATGACAGGATGCATCCAAAGGTACAATGATGGATGAAATGAAATAAACCCTCAAATCATAAAACTAGTATTCTTGTGATATGACTGTCAGGATGTGGTTTTATTGGTCTTTCCATGCGGACTTTAATATGGACAGACTGAAATAACAGATTTGAGAAGGCAGAATTAAATGACTATTTAATTAAATTACTATTTAATTCTGCAACAGTGCCTCAGGACTCAACCTAAACGTGAGATTTGAATGTTTAATGGAGGCTCGTTAAAGTACCAAGTGCAATGAGCATTTGAGAATGGAGCTGAGAGTGGAGCATACAGTGGTGTGCACTGGAGGAAGACTGCAGGAAAAAATAAAAGTTTCTTATGGAATGAAAACCTACATTGAAAATTTGAAAACATCTCAACCTTTTTGATATCAGTGATGAAGATAAAGAACCTGCAACCCTCAAACTATACAAAGCCCCATATTCAAGAATCTACCCAACTAACACCTGGAAGCACAAACACGGACAGCGATGGAAATGATAAAGATGTGATGAACTTTTCATAGCCTGTTGCAATGTTATGGACAATATTTGATTATTTGGACATTGATAACCTTGATTTCAAACATGACAGAACTAAAACGGGCCATTCAAGACTGTAATGCGTTTTAAATGGTGGCCAGTCCACAGGAAAGCTGCAGCAAAAAACCCTCTGCAGCCCAGAAAATGAACAAGGTACAAACAGCCTTGGGACTGAATGCTGTGGTAAAGGATAAGAAAATTGTTGCAAATAATGTGGACAGAGAGGAAACCAAATGAAGGGGTATGTTAATTAGTGTGGAGGGGTTGTGGACTGGCTGCATTACAAGTTAGAGGAAGCACCTTTTAACAAGCAATATGCCATAAGGTACAGGGCCCATGCATGAAGATGCGCATTGACTTTTATGCAATGTGGACTGATAAAAGCGATTCTGTGATGGAGTTTCAAATGACAATGCTGCAGTGCTTTTTGTTGACAGGAATTGCTTTGTTTATTTCATACTTAGATTGCATTTGAATAGATCCAATGACTGAAAAAAGGAAGAAAGGGAAGGAAAAATATCATAATGGCTTTACCTCTTGTCCTGAAACTGGTAAAAAGGTAAAAAACAAAAAAACTCAACCATAATAATCTTGCTGACATGAGATTTATATGTTTGTTAGTGACCCATTAATCACCATAGTTTCTCTCCATTCTCAAAGGTTCTAAAAAACACACACACACAAATAACAACACAGACATTTTGTTACGTTTGGTAAATATTTATCATAGTTTTACATCAGTCAAGAAAAAAGTTGAAAAGAAAAGCACAAAAATACAGAACCCAATAGTAATACTATCTATAACTATAATGCTTTAGAGCTGGTCCTTTTACAACATGAAAGTATTTTTAGACAGAAATGGGAGTATCTGAAAATTCAATATTATCGGAAATGGAGCAATACTTATACTTCTTGATTGTAGTGTTTTTGTGCCAGTGCTCAGGTTGAGCTTTTAACGCTATTTTCTGCTGTTAAGTCTCCTCGCACCTTTCTCTAAAAGCCTATTGATCATGTTCTAGGCTGTCATTTTTGGGTCAGTGCACTTAATTCTGCTTGTATGTAGCCAAACATTTTATTCAGAACTATCTACAAAAATGATTTCTCTCGGGGTGTTATTTCTCATGTTAAATAATGTATTTGTTTAGATAAATTCTTTAAATATAATTGAAACATTTACATTCCTTTTGTTCTTGGTGAGGATGTGGTTCTTATGTGACTATGAGGAGTGTTATAGGAAGACCATATCATTGTTAACATTTGTATGAATTATTTTGCTGGATTGAAAAATTCACCCAAGAAACAATATTTTGTCTATACTCTGTGTGCTCATTTGAATTTCATTAACAGCTTTTCATTGCATCAGAAATGTCATTTTTAAACGGGCCACTATGAGTTAAGATGTTTCTACAATCACCACAAAACTACAGTACAATAGGCCTAATATTATATCCTATGTATACTTGCTCTTTTTTATCTCATTTGTGAACTTTGCTACAATATGTGTGCATTACAATAGATACACTTAAATCAATATGAGCAATTACTGGTTTTCAGCAGCAGCATCAGGTATATTGGTATTGACTGAAAGCCACAAGTCTGCTTTAAGCTTTGGGGGAGGATTAAAATGTGTTCCTCATTATGCCTGGACACACATCATTTCCTCGTTTTCTTGATAATGAGAACACTGTGTAATTTCGTGATTGTATATTCCATATCTCCTTGAGTAACTACTGGTCTTGAATCAGTGACAGGTGCTTGTTCTGCCAGATAAGTGCATCTTCTTACCTGTTCAAGCATACCCAAAAGCTTTATGGCTTACATTTACTGTGACTGATTACAACTCCACTTCTCTGGGGTTTCATTAAATGTATTTTATAGATAATAAATGCTTAATCTTTTGAATTGTGGAAAAAAATGGGCAATGATATTTAGTATTTTTTAAATTCATTTTTAAGAGATAAATGCAATACAAATCACATACCAAATTTATATACACCAAGGAAAAACATGTTTTGCATATACCGGGGTTTTTAATTAAGCCACTGCATTAGATTATGCCAATAGCTTTCCACGTGGTGATTACAAATGTGTCATATTTTTTAGCACCTTTCGTGCCCTGTTGACTATAGATTAGGAGGGATTTCACTTAATAGCATCATAAGCATGATGAGGCAACTGAATTCAGCCACTGAAATATATTTAAAATAGGAACTGAGATAAGTCATGTGTTTATGTATAGATATTGAACTGAGATGAGCAAAACAAAAAACAGACATGAGTCATGCATCACCAATACTTCACCACACACTAATCCAATACACACAATACCCATACAATAAGAATCTGCAAATAATCTTACTACTACTTATTGAAATAGTCTACAGCCCCATGGTTCAGATGTATCAGTTTCTTTTTCATATACAGAGATTAATTTTAAATCTGATGTCCAGGTTTTAGCTGTAGTAAATGTATATCCATGGATTTGTGCAGCTGTTGAGACTGGCCAGCAACATAATGATGACAAAAATTGGACCTGTAAAGAGAATTGAGATGTTGATTAAAAACCAGAATTGGATAATAAAAGAAGAACAGAAATGTGTTTATTACCTTCAGTTGGAGCAGTGCTTGGACTCCACGCTGTCCATAATTGGACAACAAAGAATGGACTCCAGCAAACAGTGTACGTCATTATAATTACAAATGTCATTTTAACTGTTTTCAGCATGGCACTGGACACCCCCTTAGGACCTGTGCGAAGGGGTCGTGCTTGGAGCGCTTTTTTCTTCATGTTGAGGTAAATTGTTGTACATATTCTCATCTGACAGAAGAGTAAGATGACAGCAGGCAAAGCAAACACTGACAGAGTGATCCAGCTGATGTATATCCGCCGCCCCCAGGGCTCTATGAATGTGGCCCAGCAGTCAAACTGCTTCTCTTCGACCTCCTGGAGTGAGAAGATGAAGAGCTGAGGCGCGCTGAACACAAGCGAGATCAACCACGCGGCGCCTATAGAGAGATGCCTCTTAAATGAGCCCTTAAAGAAAGAGACCATGGGTTTACAAACAGCATGGTAACGATCAATGGTCATAGCCACTATCATGTATGCCGAAGCAAACATCCCAACCACCTGCAGGTATTTCACGGAACGGCACACAAAGTCCGTGCCTTTAAACCTGTGCGTAATTTCCATGGATAACTGTGGTAACACTTGAAAAAACGCAACAACCAAGTCCGCAAAACACAAATGTAAGAGAAATAATTGAGTTTTGGTTCCTTTTTTCCTTTTCTTCCAGAGTGTATACAAAAAGAAAAAATTACCACAAGCAGCAAAGAGAAACACCAAACCCAAAACTCCAGCTCGGATGAGCGCAAAACGTTCGTACTCCTCTATACCATCATCTGCCGCTTTTCGAGAGCTGTTGCTGCTGGAATCCATTTGCAGAAAATTCCTCTGGTTCTGTATTTCAAGACTTAACTGTCCCTCAAGAACTGAAAAAGTAGATGCGCGCAGCTGACAATAATGTTCTCCTGACGCACGACGTTGGGTCAGCGTAGTAGCAGCGAGTGGAGGTGAGAGACCACAGGTCTAAAGAATTAACTACAATATTGTCCACACGTTTCATATAGAAAAAGATTTAGATCTATGAGAACGAAATTTTCTCAACGGGGCAATTATTGATTAGGTATGACGTACTGTGGCTGCTTTTATGATGCGTTGTTGGTGCACTTAGTCATGATGAAAGCTTTGACATTTATAAAGATGATGGGCGATGCATGAAATACTATCCTCCCTTCAATAACAGTTCTACAGGTTACTCTTCGAACGTGCACTAAAGGGTGCTCTTCAGTATCCCCTATTGTGCCCTCTATCCCGTAAAACCAATACAATTACTATAATAAAAAGCAAGCCTAAAACACCTCTTCGTGATATAGTGCATGGTTAACACCCGTTTCTTCCCTTCATCTCAATTATAATCTGTCCACTAGATGCTGTCTATTGTTCACACACAATGACCACTAATTATACACCTGCATATACATATGTAACTGCTTCAAACAAAAACTTTAAAATGGTTTCGTTTTTCTTCTTTCTTTCTTTTTTACTTGATGGTGTCACTTATCGTTTTTCTTCTGATACTCAATAATGAATAGTCAGTGCATTGCAAAAAAGCCGATTAGATACCTTAATAGCCTTTACAGGTACCACAAGGGCTTGCTTTTACCTACTTACCAACTACCATACAGAAAAATTAAATAAAATAACTTATCCTAGCCCATATTACGAAAGGGGCATTTTAGAGTCTTTACTAGAAACAAACAGAAGTGGGACCAAGTCTTTGTTTTGCAAGTCTCAAGTAAGTCTCAAATCTTTGACCTGAAGTCCGAGTGGAGTCCCAAGCCAAATAGAGGCAAATCCAAGTCGAGTCTCGAGTCACTGGCCCATAAATCCATGACAAGTTCACGTCGTCTGCTTTGAGCTTCATGTCATTAAACTAAAGTGCCATATATAGCTTAGATTTTTGCAATGTATATGAATTTTAAGATAAATTGTACTTAAAATAATCATAGTATATTTATATAGAGTTGTAGAAATTAATGTAGATAATTTTTCCTTTTTAAAAGTCTTGACAAGATCTTAGTGTGAATCATTATAATCAGAATATAAAGAATTCAGATTTAAAAGCACTTCTCAAGTCTTTTCAAGTCACAGGTCTTAAGTTGGAGTCAAGTCAACGACCTTCAAGTCGAGTCCCAAGTCTTAGTTCATTTTTTCAAGTCAAGTCTCAAGTCCTAAAAATAGTGACTCAAATCTGACTCGAGTCAAGTAACAAGTTACAAGTAACCACCTCTGCAAAACAAATATAACTTTGCTAAATTAAAAGAAGTGTTAAAGCACTTCACAGGGTCATAAAATAAATATCTATAAAATACAGTACGGGTGCTCTTCGAAGGTTAAGGGTGAAATTATAACTTTGTGTTTTTTTATGTGCAGATTGAAGGCTGGACACTGTTGCTACCCATGGTACTGAACTTTAACTGGACACAGGACTCACAAAAGTCCTAGTAATATTTTAGTTCACCTGGCCCTAGTGTGATCTCCACATCCTCAGATTTTCATTTTAGCTACATTTTCACACGCTGTTAAACATTTCATTACTCATTTTTTAATTTATTTTTTAAATTAATATTTATTTTTATTTTTTTTCTCGTTTGGATTTCAGCTGGATAAAAACCAAACCCTTTACTCCCGCTTCGTGGTCATTTTGTGGTACTGCAAAAAGGAGGAGCGCTGCGTCACTTCCGGTATTGTTCCTGTTTGTTTCGAGCATCGTCCACATTTTCCCTGATGAACCACTCCTCAATGAAATACTAGGATTTTATAAAGGTAATACATCTACTATCATAAAGATGTTAGTTTATTAACCTAACATTTCTTTACAAGGGTCACGTAAGCCTATTTATGCTACGTACATCAATCAGATTATCGATAAACTCGCTAACATGACATGACAGACACATTAGTTCATTCATAAACACTCAAAACAAACGGATTTTGTTGGTGCAATGCGTTAAGTGTCCATTCAACATAAGTGATTATTATTTCAAGCATGCCACTTTTCTTCTGTACCCATGTTTATGTTTATAACGGGGCAGTGTCCATTGTGCCGTTTAGCATGTCACTCTTCGTCCAAAAGTCCTGCACGTTTTTGCGTAACAATATTTTACTCTCAATAACATCAGACAGCCACTTCTCCCTGAAAACCACCTTGCCAGCCCTGTTTATCAGCCTGTTCGACTCGATCACGTAATGCACGTCCACTGGCTGCGTCTGCGGATTGACTTTGTTCACGGCGAAGTAGACGCCGGCTGTTCCCGTCATCGGTTTCTGCGCAGTCGGAGTGCTGAAGCGGGCCCTGTAGTGATAAAAAGTGAAAAACTCCTCTTTAGTTACGCCCAAATAGTCCAAACTGTAGAGCCAAGCAGAGGGGAGATCCCAGGTTTTGATATACTCGTGAATTTGCCTCAGTCCAGCTTCGACTTTGAAATCCTTGCTTGCAATCCACTCAATGTTTCTCAACGCGCTGCTTTCTTTGGCGTCCTGGTTCTTCTCTGTGTAGTAGGGGTCTGTTAAGGCTTTCACAAGATGAGTTGATTCAGGTGCCAAGTCTTTATATTTTAAAGTGCGATCCATTGTCTCTTCCTACCAGATTTAAAGCAAATTTGCCATTAACCTGCGTGTTTTGCGTTCAGCCAGCCTCTGTTTAGATGTGTGCTGTTGCTATGACAACCTGGAGGTGCACGAGGCCCTCTGTTGGTGAGCTTGGCTGCTTAATTTAGTATGCAAGTGTGATATAAACGTTGTTTTTAAGGGTGCACAGTGTAACTTTCTGGTTTTTTGGTCTGCTTTCTGGTTGTCTCTATGCATAAAATGTTTCACCCTACAGCATTAAACAATCATCTCCAATTCGACAAGCACAGCAGGCTTTGCCACCAAGCACCAGGATCATATCTGTGGTCAGCTGAGCCTGATCAGAGAATGTATGTTGAATGAGAATGGATGTATGTTTTCCTAGATATTTTTAGAAACATCTTAAATTTAATGAATAGGCCTACAGCATAATTTAGATCTTTAATGTCATATTCTGGAGTATTCCAGGTAAAAGCTGGTCGAGAAAAGTGCACCTTAGAGCTCTAAAGACATAAACATACATAAATAATCCTCTTATATTTTATTTATTTCACTACACTGTCAATGTAAACTTTGACCGATTGAGAGTCCATTCAACATAAGGGATTATTATTTCAAGCATGCCACTTTTCTTCTGTACCCATGTTTATGTTTATAACGGGGCAGTGTCCATTGTGCCGTTTAGCATGTCACTCTTCGTCCAAAAGTCCTGCACGTTTTTGCTAGAGCCCAACCGATATATCGGTTGGCCGATATTATCGGCTGATATGGGCAACTTTAGGCATATCGGCTATCGGCCGATATGCTTGCTGATAAGGGCCGATATTTCACATGGGCATGTTATACCTCTTTATAAAGCTTAGACTCTCTACATTCTGTTCATTTAATCCAATTTACAGACAGATAAATGTCCTAATATGTGGCTCCACATCAGTATTTATCTACGGAGTCATTTGTCTGTGTGTGTCCGTACTGTCCCTGAACACACCACAGAGTCGCGTCACTCACGTGTGTTTGTTTACACCTGCAGACACAGATCCAAACACTGAGATTATATTCTTTTTACGGACAATCGGTTTGAGTCTGGATTAAAAGGACATTTATTAATGCAGATTTGTGATGTGAGGAGGAGCCTGTATGAGCGGTGAGTGTTGGAAATATGTCGACTCTGAAGCTAGTTTTTGTCATTTGTTATGGGTTAGCTGCTGTAGCTCCCGCACATAAACAGACTGTTTTCTATTGGTCTGTTCTAAAGTGACTATATTGGCCGTATATTTGCTACTGGACCTGCACTGATATGTAAATGAGCTGTGAACAGATGTGTGAATTATGACATTTGCGCATATAATTAATTACCGCGGCGCGCACGTATTTACGGCTAAAGGCTAATAGCCCTACTTTCTTTACTAGTTATGGGTCCGTCGCGAACGAAATGACTCTTAGAACCGGCTCTTTGAAGGGAACGACGGGAGCCTGATCCTTATTGGGAGCCGTGTTTTCTCTTTTTCTCACTTTTTTTCTCTTCACGCCGCGTGATTCGTGGTTTGACAGCGGCAGCGGCTCAAAACGAAACTTTGAGAAATTTGCGTGTACGTAGGATTAAAAAAAATAAAAATAAAAAAAACCGAGCATATTTGACTGTAGTTTAGCATAAAATAAATAAGTCCCGGTTTAGTCCTTTTTCAGTCCTGGTTTAGACCTGGTTCAGTCCTGATTCAGTCCTGCTTTAGACGTGCTTTAGTCCTGCTTGCAACAAAACAATCTGAAGAGCCACTTGGGAGCCAAAAGAACCAGCAGCTTTTAGTGAGCCGAGCCAAAAGAGACGGTTCTCTAAAAAGAACTGGAATACCCATCACTAGTGTCTAGAATGTGATGCAAAAATGCGATTAAGCCAACCTACTGTCTGTAAATATGATGTAAAGAGGCAGAATAACAATAAATGTTGCCTAAATAAACCCAATTTAAAATCCACCAGAGCCAAACCTAACTTTTTAAACAATTCAACATTTACAGTGAATTTTTACATCACTAAATATATTGGCGATTATATCGGCTATCGGCAGCGCCAACTCCCATCATATCGGTTTCATATCGGCCACAGCAAAATCCATATCGGTCGGGATCTAGTTTTTGCGCAACAATATTTTACTCTCAATAACATCAGACAGCCACTTCTCCCTGAAAACCACCTTGCCAGCCCTGGTTATCAGCCTGTTCGACTCGATCACGTAATGCACGTCCACTGGCTGCGTCTGCGGATTGACTTTGTTCACGGCGAAGTAGACGCCGGCTGTTCCCGTCATCGGTTTCTGCGCAGTCGGAGTGCTGAAGCGGGCCCTGTAGTGATAAAACGCGAAAAACTCCTCTTGAGTTACGCCCAAATAGTCCAAACTGTAGAGCCAAGCAGAGGGGAGATCCCAGGTTTTGATATACTCGTGAATTTGCTTCAGTCCAGCTTCGACTTTGAAATCCTTGCTTGCAATCCACTCAATGTTTCTCAACGCGCTGCTTTCTTTGGCGTCCTGGTTCTTCTCTGTGTAGTAGGGGTCTGTTAAGGCTTTCACAAGATGAGCTGATTCAGGTGCCAGATCTTTATATTTTAAAATGCGATCCATTGTCTCTTCCTGCCAGATTTGCCGTTAACCTGCGTGTTTTGCGTTCAGCCAGCCTCTGTTTAGGCAAGGCAAGGCAAGGCATGCTTATTTGTATAGCACAATTCGTACACAAAGTAATTCAAAGTGCTTTACTGTTTAGATGTGTGCTGTTGCTATGACAACCTGGAGGTGCACGAGGCCCTCTGTTGGTGCACTTGGCTGCTTAATTTAGTGTACAAGTGTAATATAAACGTTGTTTTTAAGGGTGCACAGTGTAACTTTCTGGTTTTTTGGTCCGCATTCTGGTTGTCTCTATGCATAAAACGTTTCACCCTACAGCATTAAACAGTCATCTCCAATTCGACAAGCACAGCAGGCTTTGCCACCAAGCACCAGGATCATATCTGTGGTCAGCTGAGCCTGATCAAAGAAAGAATATATGTTTTTCTAGATATTTTTAGAAACATCTTAAATTTAATGAATAGGCCTACAGCATAATATAGATCTTTAATGTCATATTCTGGAGTATTCCAGGTAAAAGCTGGTAGAGAAAAGTGCACCTTAGAGCTCTAAAGACATAAACATACATAAATAATCCTCTTATATTTTATTTATTTCACTACACTGTCAATGTAAACTTTGACCGATTGAGAGATACCCCATTAAGTGTCCATTCAACATAAGGGATTATTATTTCAAGCATGCCACTTTTCTTCTGTACCCATGTTTATGTTTATAACGGGGCAGTGTCCATTGTGCCGTTTAGCATGTCACTCTTCGTCCAAAAGTCCTGCACGTTTTTGCGCAACAATATTTTACTCTCAATAACATCAGACAGCCACTTCTCCCTGAAAACCACCTTGCCAGCCCTGTTTATCAGCCTGTTCGACTCGATCACGTAATGCACGTCCACTGGCTGCGTCTGCAGATTGACTTTGTTCACGGCGAAGTAGACGCCGGCTGTTCCCGTCATCGGTTTCTGCGCAGTCGGAGTGCTGAAGCGGGCCCTGTAGTGATAAAAAGTGAAAAACTCCTCTTGAGTTACGCCCAAATAGTCCAAACTGTAGAGCCAAGCAGAGGGGAGATCCCAGGTTTTGATATACTCGTGAATTTGCCTCAGTCCAGCTTCGACTTTGAAATCCTTGCTTGCAATCCACTCAATGTTTCTCAACGCGCTGCTTTCTTTGGCGTCCTGGTTCTTCTCTGTGTAGTAGGGGTCTGTTAAGGCTTTCACAAGATGAGCTGATTCAGGTGCCAGATCTTTTATATTTTAAAATGCGATCCATTGTCTCTTCCTGCCAGATTTGCCGTTAACCTGCGTGTTTTGCGTTCAGCCAGCCTCTGTTTAGGCAAGGCAAGGCATGCTTATTTGTATAGCACAATTCGTACACAAAGTAATTCAAAGTGCTTTACTGTTTAGATGTGTGCTGTTGCTATGATAACCTGGAGGTGCACGAGGCCCTCTGTTGGTGCACTTGGCTGCTTAATTTAGTGTACAAGTGTAATATAAACGTTGTTTTTAAGGGTGCACAGTGTAACTTTCTGGTTTTTTGGTCCGCTTTCTGGTTGTCTCTATGCATAAAACGTTTCACCCTACAGCATTAAACAATCACCTCCAATTCGACAAGCACAGCAGGCTTTGCCACCAAGCACCAGGATCATATCTGTGGTCAGCTGAGCCTGATCAAAGAAAGAATATATGTTTTTCTAGATATTTTTAGAAACATCTTAAATTTAATGACTAGGCCTACAGCATAATATAGATTTTTAATGTCATATTCTGGAGTATTCCAGGTAAAAGCTGGTAGGGAAAAGTGCACCTTAGAGCTCTAAAGACATAAACATACATAAATAATCCTCATATTTTATTTATTTCACTACACTGTCAATGTAAACTTTGACCGATTGAGAGATACCCCATTAAGTGTCCATTCAACATAAGGGATTATTATGTCAAGCATGCCACTTTTCTTCTGTACCCATGTTTATGTTTATAACGGGGCAGTGTCCATTGTACCGTTTAGCATGTCACTCTTCGTCCAAAAGTCCTGCACGTTTTTGCGCAACAATATTTTACTCTCAATAACATCAGACAGCCACTTCTCCCTGAAAACCACCTTGCCAGCCCTGTTTATCAGCCTGTTCGACTCAATCACGTAATGCACGTCCACTGGCTGCGTCTGCGGATTTACTTTGTTCACGGCGAAGTAGACGCCGGCTGTTCCCGTCATCGGTTTCTGCGCAGTCGGAGTGCTGAAGCGGGCCCTGTAGTGATAAAAAGTGAAAAACTCCTCTTGAGTTACGCCCAAATAGTCCAAACTGTATAGCCAAGCAGAGGGGAGATCCCAGGTTTTGATATACTCGTGAATTTGCTTCAGTCCAGCTTCGACTTTGAAATCCTTGCTTGCAATCCACTCAATGTTTCTCAACGCGCTGCTTTCTTTGGCGTCCTGGTTCTTCTCTGTGTAGTAGGGGTCTGTTAAGGCTTTCACAAGATGAGCTGATTCAGGTGCCAGGTCTTTATATTTTAAAATGCGATCCATTGTCTCTTCCTGCCAGATTTGCCATTAACCTGCGTGTTTTGCGTTCAGCCAGCCTCTGTTTAGGCAAGGCAAGGCACTACTGAAAATGGATGTGTTTAATCAAAGATGGCACCTGGTGAAAACAAACTTGGGAGTGTGATGTTTTAGACCAGACATGTCAAACTCTGTATTACAGCTGCATAAGAAAAGGTTTAACATTACATATCTCGAAAGAAGAGAAAACACGCAAACACTTTTGAAATTTTTCAATAAATATTTAGTTAGGCCTCGACTTAGTCCCAGTTTTTAATTTTGGCCTCTGTGAATTTGAGTTTGACTCTCCTGGATTAGACCCTTAACCTATTTTTATTGTTTATTCAGCTGCGTCTGACTGAAAGGTTTTCATTTTTCATGCCACACTCTTCTCTCTCATTTAATGTCTCTCTCTCTTTTAAATTTTATGATGATTATTTATGTTTTGATCTGTTTGTATTGTGATTTTAATGTTTTTCTTATTCTGTAACACAGTTTGAATGACTTGTGAAATTGTGCTGTATAGAACAACTTGCCTTGCCTTTATATCACACTGTGGAACATTACAGCCAAAGGGACATATGGGTCCCTGGGTCATCCAGGCCAGAGGTTTGTGGAGATGCAGAGCGCTCACAGTGTTTCTGTTTAACTCAGAGACTGCATGATTTTGAGTTCCAATCTCCAACTGGAGCACAGCTCACCCTGCGGAACACTGTTCTAGAATGTTGTGATGTCACTGCTGTTTCCATGGCAACCCCAAGATAAAGGCACCTGACCACTTTGTCTCTTTGATGTCACCAGATGTCAAAGCATAAAAGATTATAAGGGACAGACAACAAACCTCAGACAATTCATCTGTTGTGCTACTGCTAGGAGTACTGAGAATTCTGTGAGAAGTGATTTAAAGTCATTAGTGGTGTTATAAACGCTTTTGAGAATATACATAGACAGAACTGAACGTTTGGTGTTACATTTTGAAAAGATGTCGTTGAAGCAAGGGATTGGCAACGCCGAATATTTTAACAAAAGGGTCCCAAAGAATGCCAAGTATCAGAACATCAAATCCAAACTGGACACAGGATGCAGCCTGTCAAAGTACATGGAGAAAATAGAGGACATGAAGAGGAATTACAGATACAGCAAAGATGAGATATTTAAACGATTTAAAGTGACAACATTTGTGCAACTGATCATTCAAGTGGCCTCAGTTTCAAAACTTACCTCCAGTCTGAGTGAATGTGAACTGAACACACCAGAAGATGCCCTGTCAGTGGCGTCAGAGGAGCTAGAGTCTCTCACAGTTCGGTCCTACGACTCAAACTCGTCTCCGTCCACAGAGAGAGGGGACGCCCACACAGCCCGCTCCACTTTGCTAAGTGTGATCAGTGGGGAGCTGAGCACGGAGCAGAGTCCTGATCCAGAGTCCAATTCAGACTCCGACAAACCGTACAAAGACTGCCCCTATCTGCTACTCGATGTGAGGGACAGAGACCAGTACGACTCCTGCCACATCATCAGCGCTCACAGTTTCCCCATCGCATTTCTGTCTCGGACCATGAACCCCTACACCAAAGAAGTGCTGGAATATAAAAATGCTCCTGGTAAAATCATCATAGTTTATGACGAGGACGAGACGATCGCCAGTCAGGCCGCCAGCATCATGTGTCAGAGGGGCTTTGAGAACCTTTCCATGTTATCTGGAGGTCTGAAGGTGTTGTCTCAGAAGTTCCCTGGGTCTCTTGTCTCTGGCCCTCTCCCTCCTCTCTGCTTCACCCGCTCAGCCTCAGTGAAGGGCAGGAGAGTGGCGCCCCCCTCTGGTCACACGCGGGCAGAGCAGCGCTGGAGATTCACCGCAGACGAACTGAACAGACTCACAGATCAGCTGGAGGAGGCTCTAGTGCCCAGCAACAACTCCAGTCGGATGTCCAGCCGGATCTCCTCTGTGAGTTCTCAGAGCGCCCGCAGTCGTCACAGCTCCTCTTCCTGCAGCAGTCGGCCCTGGAAGTGACCCGCCGCCGCCTCCTCATCCACAAATAAACTCACTTGAAAAAAAAAAAAAAAAAAAAAAAAGAAGTGCCTCATCAAGGCTGCAGAAAGAGGAAGGTCATGTGACTGGATCTGATCGCTGGAAGTATTTCTCACGCCCTTTGATTCCATTTGGACAGCAGCTGCCCCCAGATGTTATCTTTGCGTTGCCAAAAGAAGAGTTTGTGTCCAGTCTGGACCAAAAGCCTATACAGCAGCCCACACATTTTACTGTGGCAGTCCAGACTGACTACAGAGAGAGTGAAACACAGACAGATCCTTACAGTCCAGAATATATTATCGAACCTGGCACAACGCCTTCTGAACTCCTGACTCTGGCATCTCTGACTTGGGGTCATGGACTGCCTGCAGGTTTGGCAGAGGTAGAAATGATAGAGCGTGCTCGAGCCAAAAGAGCATGGGAGGCCACTCTCCCTCCACTGGATGACCTCAGTCAGCTAAAGAAAAGGAGACGCATGATGGAGAAGATAGAGGCTAGGGAGTGGGCTTTCAGAGAGGGGCAAATCCAGAAGCTAAAAGAGGCCCGTCTAGAGGTGCTGACAGACCTCCTGAAAAAAAGGGACGAGATTCAACAGAATTATACACATGACAGACTGAAGCAGATCAATCATAAGCTACAGAAAGAGAAGGAGACCAAAAATTAATAAGATCAACAATGACTATTTCCGGGCAATGAGAAAATTGGACGCCAGACACAGTATAGCAATGGACAAACTAACACATGCATTGAACTTCAAAGATTATTCTGATCTTTCCTCGCACATGCGCCCTGCTGTAAGACGAAAGCATGACGCAGACAAAAACTACTACTTTGACACCGAAGGCTTCACAGAACTGGAAACTGGGCTCTCTGCTTCTTCATTGAAATCATCAGTGAAAAGTGCACAGCAACCCACTAGGAGTAAGATCAAAAACTCTAGTCAGAGAGTGATTCAGCTGTATGAGCAGTACACGGCCCTAACGAGAAAAGACACATCAGAAGAGCCATTGGAATGCCTTGTCAAGACTGAGAAGTCTTCTCCTCCGCCAGCCACTCCTGAAGTAGAACGACCACCAGAAGGGGAGGAAGAGAGAGAAATTGCTGTCATCAACTTGCAGCTCGTTGTCAAGATTGAGAAGACTTCTCCTCCGCCAGTCACTCCTGAAGTAGAACGACCACCAGAAGGGGAGGAAGAGAGAGAAATTGCTGTCATCAACTTGCAGAAGTTACTGAGAGAAAGAGTCCATGCTCTTCAGAGTGAAGAACAGGCGCTACAGGAAGCAGAAAAAGACCGAATATTGAACCTCAAACGAGAGAGAGATCAACAGATCCGCAGGACTGAGCACGTGGAGGCACTGCAGGCCAGAGGTGTGGACACAGAGCTTCACTACATGTTTGACACTTTATCCAAAGAGCTGATCAGACTGCAGGAGGAACGAAGGATGCATGCCTTCACTCTCCTTGCTGAGAGAGACCGCCGCGTGCGAGAGGCAGAGGAGAGTGGGAGGAGACAGGTTGAAGAACGCAGAAGAAAAGAAGACGACGACATTTTCAGACAAGTGGTGCAGATAAACCAGGAGAGTGTAGACTTGTACTTGGAGGACATCATTCTGGAGACCACAGAGACTGCAGCAGATGAGCAGGCGAGAAAGGAGATCCACCAACTGGCCAAAGAGGTCAATGATGTAGCCTGCGCCATGGAGGAAAGCTGTCAGTCTGAAGCCATTGTCTATGAGTTGGTGTACAGCTTTCTCATCCCAGAGGTGGCTAAGACAAGTGTCAGGCAAAAAGTTCAACAGAAGCAGGAGAGACACTTGCAGGCGGCTCGGAGCATTATCCATGGCCCTTCACCTCCCTCTGCTCAAAGCCCCTCAAACTCTGTCACTCAGGATGAAGAGAGAGTGAAAGAGTCAGAGCAGCCTCATACACACACAAACAATTAAACCGCACATTAAAGGTTGTATAGAGGATTTTCCAAGGAACGAGAAATCCAGCGACTGTTTGTCCTTTTTCAAATGTTGCGCATGCGTGAAACCACCCCCCCTCCCCTACAGCTCCCTACGTAGAAACGCCTCCTCCCGCCTCCTCCTTACGCCAGAAACAGGTTTGTTTACAGTCGGTGCGCTGCACATGACTCGTAAACAACTAACTACAGTGTTGGTTAGGCAAGGTGGAGAAGTGAGGAGCGGGGGGAGCGGGTGTGCGGACATTTCGTGCGCGGACGAGAAGTGAGGAGCAGGGAGAAGAGCGGAGCAGGGAGAGGAGAGAGGAGAGAGGAGAGGGGAGCGGTGCGCGGAGATTCCGTGCCCGGAGAAGTGAGGAGCAGGGGGAAGAGCGGATCGGGCAGCGGGGAGAGGAGCAGGAAAGGGGTGCAGAGAAGGGTGCGCGGAGATTCAGTGCGAATGAACTAGCTACAACACGCAGCAGCAAGCGGATTCTTTCTTTGCATTGAAAATTACGTTTTCAGACATAGGATATCGCTTTCGTGCCCTGAAAAACGTTTGACTAGCTCTTGGAAATAAAGTACGTTTTCATAATAAGCAGAAGTGACCTGTCCAGGAGTAATTTGGCGACCAATGCGTCAGTCTTTAGACCCTTCGTCTGCTTCGCTGCTTTTCCCCTCGTCTTCTTCTTTCATCGACCTCAAAAACGGACTTTCTTTTGCGGTTAACTGCTCCTGGATTCTTGTCTGCCATTGCAACAAACTTTGTGCTAACTGCGAGGAAGATATAGGTCAAAAAAAGTCGCTAAGAACTGTTACGTTGGTGGAGTAAACAGCGTCTGTGCAGCTTGCGTCTGTGGACTGCGTGACAGGCGTACGTAAACCACGTACCGGCGGCGCGCAGGCAGGTCAGTTACGCTAGAAACGTAGGGAGAATGATTGACAACCTGTCAGCTAACAGATAACGAGGCAGTGTCGTTATCTATTGGCAAATGTTTAGCTGGCCCCACCACGTCCAGAGTTGATGAATTTTAATTCTCTTTTTTTTGGTCATCATAATTACAAGGCTACTGCATCTCTATAATGCTATCATTGACAATTTGAAACAAAAAAAAATCCTCCATACAACCTTTAATGCAAAAAAAAAAAAAAAAAGTGCTTTACTGTTTAGATGTGTGCTGTTGCTATGACAACCTGGAGGTGCACGAGGCCCTCTGTTGGTGCACTTGGCTGCTTAATTTAGTGTACAAGTGTAATAAAAACGTTGTTTTTAAGGGTACACAGTGTAACTTTCTGGTTTTTTGGTCCGCTTTCTGGTTGTCTCTATGCATAAAACGTTTCACCCTACAGCATTAAACAATCATCTCCAATTCGACAAGCACAGCAGGCTTTGCCACCAAGCACCAGGATCATATCTGTGGTCAGCTGAGCCTGATCAAGAAAGAATATATGTTTTTCTAGATATTTTTAGAAACATCTTAAATTTAATGACTAGGCCTACAGCATAATATAGATTTTTAATGTCATATTCTGGAGTATTCCAGGTAAAAGCTGGTAGGGAAAAGTGCACCTTAGAGCTCTAAAGACATAAACATACATAAATAATCCTCATATTTTATTTATTTCACTACACTGTCAATGTAAACTTTGACCGATTGAGAGATACCCCATTAAGTGTCCATTCAACATAAGGGATTATTATGTCAAGCATGCCACTTTTCTTCTGTACCCATGTTTATGTTTATAACGGGGCAGTGTCCATTGTACCGTTTAGCATGTCACTCTTCGTCCAAAAGTCCTGCACGTTTTTGCGCAACAATATTTTACTCTCAATAACATCAGACAGCCACTTCTCCCTGAAAACCACCTTGCCAGCCCTGTTTATCAGCCTGTTCGACTCAATCACGTAATGCACGTCCACTGGCTGCGTCTGCGGATTTACTTTGTTCACGGCGAAGTAGACGCCGGCTGTTCCCGTCATCGGTTTCTGCGCAGTCGGCGTGCTGAAGCGGGCCCTGTAGTGATAAAACGCGAAAAACTCCTCTTGAGTTACGCCCAAATAGTCCAAACTGTATAGCCAAGCAGAGGGGAGATCCCAGGTTTTGATATACTCGTGAATTTGCTTCAGTCCAGCTTCGACTTTGAAATCCTTGCTTGCAATCCACTCAATGTTTCTCAACGCGCTGCTTTCTTTGGCGTCCTGGTTCTTCTCTGTGTAGTAGGGGTCTGTTAAGGCTTTCACAAGATGAGCTGATTCAGGTGCCAGGTCTTTATATTTTAAAATGCGATCCATTGTCTCTTCCTGCCAGATTTGCCATTAACCTGCGTGTTTTGCGTTCAGCCAGCCTCTGTTTAGGCAAGGCAAGGCACTACTGAAAATGGATGTGTTTAATCAAAGATGGCACCTGGTGAAAACAAACTTGGGAGTGTGATGTTTTAGACCAGACATGTCAAACTCTGTATTACAGCTGCATAAAAAAGGTTTAACATTACATATCTCGAAAGAAGAGAAAACACGCAAACACTTTTGAAATTTTTTCAATAAATATTTAGTTAGGCCTCGACTTAGTCCCAGTTTTTAATTTTGGCCTCTGTGAATTTGAGTTTGACTCTCCTGGATTAGACCCTTAACCTATTTTTATTGTTTATTCAGCTGCGTCTGACTGAAAGGTTTTCATTTTTCATGCCACACTCTTCTCTCTCATTTAATGTCTCTCTCTCTTTTAAATTTTATGATGATTATTTATGTTTTGATCTGTTTGTATTGTGATTTTAATGTTTTTCTTATTCTGTAACACAGTTTGAATGACTTGTGAAATTGTGCTGTATAGAACAACTTGCCTTGCCTTTATATCACACTGTGGAACATTACAGCCAAAGGGACATATGGGTCCCTGGGTCATCCAGGCCAGAGGTTTGTGGAGATGCAGAGCGCTCACAGTGTTTCTGTTTAACTCAGAGACTGCATGATTTTGAGTTCCAATCTCCAACTGGAGCACAGCTCACCCTGCGGAACACTGTTCTAGAATGTTGTGATGTCACTGCTGTTTCCATGGCGACCCGTGCTCCAACTGGCACACAGCTCATCCTCCGGAACACTGTTCTAGAATGTTGTGATGTCACTGCTGTTTCCATGGCAATCCCAAGATAAAGACACCTGACCACTTTGTCTCTTTGATGTCAT